ACCTCCTAACCAGAAGGTTGGTGGTTCCTAGTCTGCTCCAGTCTGCATGCCAAATATCCTTGGGCAAGATGCTAACCCCAGCTTACTCTCCAATGTATCCATCGGAGTGTGGATGTGTGTATGAATGTTAGTTAGACAGAACTAAAAAACTTAAGAAAAGAGAAAAGTGCTTGTGTGATTGGGTGAATGAACGAGTTGTGTAAAGCACTTTGAGTGCTCAGAATAGAAAAGCCCTATATGAGAACCAGTCCATTTATTATAATAATAATAATAATAATAATAATGAATTGCATTTATATAGCACTTTTCGGGGCCCTCAAAGCGCTTTACAATTCCACTATTCATTCACTCTCACATTCACACACTGGTGGAGGCAGCTACAGTTGTAGTCACAGCTGCCCTGGGGCAGACTGACAGTCTTCTGCTGCTTGTTATTTAAATGAGCTCATTGTACAGTTTTTCTCATATCCCATTATATTTATTTTATATGCAAATTACATTTATGTTATTAACTTCTTCTGTGTGAGCCAGACAAAACTAAAAAGATTCAGCTTTGGGTTTAGACACATGTTGCATGCATGTGTGTTTCTCAAACCCTTCAAACTTTGTCTGTCTCTTTACACAGGTCTACAACGACACCGCTTGGAAACAATTCCTTCAAACCCACAGAGTAGCTCAACAGTGTCACCTGTTGGAGACAGCAATACACAAGCAATCACTGAGAGATCATCCAGTCCTCACAGAGTTTCACATTGTTCCCCAGAAGTCACGTCTCCGCTCTCATTTACACCAGCAGAAGTGTCTGAGGACCTCACAGACTCTGAACCCGAGGAAGAAAAGGACAGACGAAGTGGCAAGGCTAAAATGACTGAGAGTGATGAAGAAGAAACAGGTTGCAGAGAGGAAGAGGACGATGATGTGGATGAGCAGACAGATGAGGATTATGAGGAGGTTGTAGTGAAGCTGAGGCCTTTAAATGAGGTGACCTCATTAACAGACAAAACCAGTCCCTGGACCAGCATCTTGTCAGATCCTGAATTGGCCTCTCTGGAGAGCCTGGAGGGACCAGAGCACCTGGACCTGAGTGAAGATGAGGGCAAGAAGAAACTGCTGGTAGATATGGAATCGGGTCACCCCAGTGGGAAGCACAGGGAAGAGGAAAGTGAAGACGACTGCAGCTTAAATGGTTCCACAGGAGATGCCTCAGATCTGGAGAGAGGTGATGATACGTCGCAACATGCTGGAGGTGAAAGACAACAACAAGAACTAAACAGCCCTAACAAGAGGTCACATGACACAGATTCATCACCAGCCAAACAGCACACCACAGACACCCACAGTGTTTCCGCCTCCTCAGACGAGCCACACCTCCAACGGTATCTTTAAATATGTTTCATGATTCATTTGTGGCCGTTAGGTTATGCTGTTGGTTTTTGCTTTTCTGAGCCAGTTCAAATCAGTGATTCATTATAAAACTTGTTTTAGGTGTGTAAATGCTTCATCTTGTGTGGCGTCTTTAGGGTTTTATTTCAACATTCATGTCAACAATCTAGACATAAGGAGACTGACAGGTGGAAGTGCGATAACGTTCCTGCTGAGCAGGCTGTACATAAACTCACACACACTAAATCCCATGTGGTTGCTCACAGTCTGTGTAATAATGAATAATAATAATGGATTAGATTTATATAGCACTTTTCAAGGCACTCAAAGCGCTTTACAATTCCACTATTCATTCACTCTCACATCCACACACTCGGGGAGGCAAGCTACAGTTGTAGCCATAGCTGCCCTGGGGCAGACTGACAGAAGCGAGGCTGCCATATCGCGCCATCGGCCCCTCTGGCCATCACCAGTAGGCGGTAGGTGAAGTGTCTTGCCCAAGGACACAACGACCAGGACTGAGAGCCCGGGGATCAAACCGGCAACCTTCAGATGCGTTTCCCCTTAATATAGTTTTCCCGTGGAGGTCAAACAGATATTTTTTTTGTTTTTCTGAACATTTACTTTCATGTTTTTGGGGAGTGTTTAAACACAGTTCCCCTCCTCTTCAGTTGTAACTGCCTCAAAACACACTGAGAACGTGTTTTCTTTAACTTTATCCATTAAGCTCTGTTCCTGCAGAGGTTCTAAACTTCTTCCTCCCCTCCCACCAACTGGAGGCGTCGATGAGAGCTATACGTTTAGCACCCACGTTCTCCCAGGCATCCAGCAACCCGGTGAGTGTTTGTCCACGGGCAGTGCTTTTGGCCGTCACGCCTGCTTATATGTTCACTCTCTCCACTCCTGTTACTTTTACAGTGGTGTTAGAGATTAACCTTTACCTTTGATGTATCTGTTCATGTTTGCATAATTTAATGGTTTTGCAAATATACTTGCCCAACCTTCTGTACACACAGTGTTATGAATAATCTTTCGCATGATGTGTGATGTGCGTGATGCCAGACTGACATTCGGTGTAATTTAACACTCAGTTCTGCAGCACTAACAGGTTGACTTTCTCTGATCTCATTCACAGTGTTTGCCCAGCATTTAAATGTTGGGTTTTTTTTGTTTTGTTTTTTAAACCAACAACACATTTTTGTATTTTTGCAAACTTTGGATGTGATTTAGTAAAAAGTATGAATTCTAAAACCACTGATGGATCTCTCTTCTAATGTAATTGATCATTTTAATGCAATTTAAAACAAACAAAAATAATAAATCAAATACAGCTTTATTGTCAAAAACCATATGTACATTCCATACACAGGAATTTGAAATTGAAACGGTCCCACGGCCCTCAGTGTACACTAAAACAATATAAAGATAAAAATAAAATAAAAGTCTTATATACAACACAATATAATACTGCAGTACAATACAATAAGATGCTGTCACATGCAAAAAAAAAAAGAATCAATGGAGATGACTGTCACTCCTGTTTTTTAATTTTACAACTTTTTGAAGAGCACAATAAAACAGAGAAGTTGAGAGTTAGAACTTATTTGGAGAGGTGGTGTGACTGTTGGCACCACCTCTCCTCCCTGCATGATGACGAGACCTTTCAAAAAAACTAGTTCAGGCATGCCATTTGTTGCTGATACATGCAGCTGACAGTCTCACAACATGAAGGCTAACCAAACAAAGGTTTGTTGTGTGTGAATTGTGAGTCATATAATCACAAAAAAAGATTCAGATTAATTAACTTATTTGTCTTCAGCCTCCCCTGCAACTAAGCTGTCTTGGTACACTGTGTGCTAGCAGTTCAGAACTTGTGTTTTTTTTTTGTTTTTTTTGTTTTTTAACTTTAACGCTTCATGTTTTCAGGACCAGAACTCATCGGTTCACAGCGCCCCACCTCCCAGAGGCCCTCGGCAGCGTCCCAACATGTCACCGTCATCCATGAAGAAAGAGACGGAGAGAATAGCAAAAATTTTTGCAGCTCACTTTGATGAGACTAATTAGAGACGTTTGGTTTCAGCCTGCAACAATAATCATGTATATTAAATGTAACATGTTGTATTTTTATAAATAAATATTAACCATTTTCACTACTGAAGTTTTTTTGTTGTTGTTGTTTTTGTTTTTTTAAATGTTTTATTGAAGCTGAATGTCTGCAGGCTGGTGGCCACAAGTTTTGGTGATGTAACTGTTTCAGGTTCTCTCCTGAATAAGACAGCTGTGTATGTTAATTTCATGTTTTTGAGTTTCCCATCATGTTGATTTGTTAAAGAAATAAAACATTGAAGTTCAGTTTAAAAATGCCATTGCTAGTCCACATCACCTCTTCACCTCATTATAGTAGCTGACATAACAGAAGGGCACCTGTACATATGTGTGGGTATTTATATGAGAAATGTGATACACATAATTGGCATCAAATAAAAAAAATGCAAAAATGAGACATAAGTCAGGATAACTGGGAATATTTATGGAATATGTGGTGGCAGTTAAAGTTGAACGTTTCGTTGATAATAAATAACTATATAAAAGATAAACAAATATGGAAGAGTGGGGAGGTGTGATCTCCAGACTTTAATATTTTCAGATAGTGGCCCTACTGAAATATTAACACACCTACAATTCCTGTAAAAAGAGGGTTTAAATACGTCATCCTTAAGATGTATGATAGCAGAAACCTGAATCGATCTAAAAACAAAAAAAACAACCACATATCCATGATACAACACCCAAATGACACTGCAGGGTAGTTTTGGGGATGTAACATAACTCAGTTAAAGTTAATCCTGAACCATTTACTCCTGTACTGAGGATGTTGTGAGGTTCTGTTATACTTTGGGGGGCATTTTTTTTTTTTTTTTTTTTTGGGGTATTTTTTTTTTTTTTTTTTTTTTTTGCCATGGTTTGAGTCTTCTTGTCCCTCTTAGAGGAAAATGTCACTGCCAATCAAGAGAAAGTGCAATTTCTATAATAAAAGACTATTATTTCATATTATTTCCCTTCACAGTTATCGATCGTGGCTCAATTTGTAATCACAAGGTTGCCGGTTCGAGCCCCGGCTTGCTGGTGGTGGTCAGAGGGCCCGGCGGCGCCAGTGTCCGGCAGCCTCGCCTCTGTCAGTGCGCCCCAGGGTGGCTGTGGCTACAATGTAGCTTGCCATCACCAGTGTGTGAATGGGTGGATGACTGGTTGTGTACAGCGCTTTGGGGTCCTTAGGGACTAGAAAAGCGCTATACAAATACAGGCCATTTATCAGATATACACCCACGTGAACTCCTGTGAGTTGGTGGTCGCCATTGCCATCATAAAAACACCAAAAGCAGGATTATTTCCCATAAGAATGGGAGGACATTATCCGTACTAAGATACATAAAACTTTCCTGATGACGCCTCAGCTCTTGTCCGCTGATATTGAAATTGTTTTTTATTTGAAAGCAGATGGATCATGACAGAGAACACCGATAAAGAACAATCTGGGGTATTCCGCGCATGTGTGTGATGAGTATCTGGAGTTCTGCAGGGCGGTGCAGCAGGTCCGTTCAAAGTCAGTAAATGTGGGCCAGGCTTCACTCGTCGGCTGCGCAGTCAGGTGTTTGTTGACATGCAAAGATACCGACTTAGTTCAGTTTGCTTTCGACTTCTTGTCGTGAGCGTTTCTGTGTAATGGCACAACGACGCTGTTCCCTTCAAACTCCAAACTTTCTTTTGCATGGAGCTTGACCTACATCGCTTTTATTCGTTTCCGTACACGAAGGATGAAATGATGATTAGTCCTTCAATGCGCACTTTGTTATTTAAGTTTTGTTGTTGCTGAGGCTTGCTGTTGAGCTCAGGCACTGATCATGGTTGGAGGGAGAGCGGCTGATTTGGCGCCCACAACTGCTGTTAAAATCTTCTCAGCTGGAACAGCAGGCTGCGTGGCGGACCTAGTCACCTTCCCACTGGACACCGCCAAAGTCCGGCTACAGGTGAGGCATCAGGAAGCCCCACCCACCTCATGGTATTTGCAACTATAGCCACCTCAAAATATTCTCGGTAATTAAGAGCTTTATATTTTATAACAAAAAGTGTAACACAATTCAGAATATAAAAAAAGTGGAAAAATTGGTGCACAGGGACACCCCCCTCACCCCGACCCGGCTCAGCTTATCGTGTAAGTGTTGTTTCCTGATTTCTTTCTTTCTTTCTTTCTTTTAACATATTTGTCACACTCAAATGTTTCAGATCACCAAATTACCGAAACCCCAAAGTCCGTTTTTAACTGATGATTTGAGTTATTAAAGAAACAAGTGTAACGTGAGGGTTCACTTGATGGAATCTCCCTGAATAATTGGGAACAGCACGATGGAGACAGTTAACTGTCTTACCAGCCTCTTTACTCTCAGCACACAGCAACAACAAAAACCAACACTTCCTGTGTGCCGCCGTCATCAATATTTCACTGGGCTCTAAGAAGCCAGGAAATGTTATACTCAGATCAATGCAGAAAAACCAACTAGGTAGATATAACACATACTTATTACTGCTTTGAACATGCATGTGTAAACATTCAAATGTGTAAACATGTAAATACCAAAACAGGTAACCACCAAATAGCTGCATAACTAGCTCTATAACCCTTGTAAACACCTCTTTGTATATCAAATTACCTTTAAATTTACTTCCACATTTTACACAAGATATCCAAACCTACCTTGCCTTGTGTGAAAATGTAAAATTTACTGTGACCACTCACATTTTTAAGAAAGCAAAATTCAATTTCACTAGCCACACCCAGGTGTGATTACTGCCAGTCTAAAAAGTGAAGTAGGCTAAAATATGACACAATTCAAAGAAACAAAAAAACAAAACAAAACATGTAAAACAAAAAGTCACTGAAAGATATCAGTCTGGAAATGGTTACAAAGTCATTTCTAAGGCTTTGGGACTCCAGTGAACCACAGAAAAGAACCCAGAACAACATCTGAAGAACTGCAGGCCTCACTTCAGCTAGGGTCAGAGGTATAGAGGTGATGGGAATGTGATGATGTCGAGCTGCTTTGATGCTTCTGAGCGACTTGCTGTAGCTAATGGAACCATGAATTCTGCTCTCTACCAGAACATCCTGAAGGAGAATGTCCAGCAATAAGTTTGTCCCTTCAAACCCAAAAACACTTGAGTTATGCAAGAAACACACTAGTGTTTTGGATCTTTATCCTGCTCCTAAATGGTAAACTGACTGGTTCTTATATAGTGCTTTTTTACTCTGCCTCATTCACCCATTAAAGCAAGCAATTTTTGCTATGCTTTTTCTATCTACAATTCACACACATTCATACTCCGATGGATGCATCGGAGAGCAACTTGGGGTTAGTATCTTGCTCAAGGATATTTGGCATGTAGACTAAAGCAGCCAGGGATGGAACCACCAATCTTCTGATTAGCAGATGACCTGCTCTAGCACCTGAGCTATAACCACCCCAAATGGCCTTGTCAAAGTAGGAACTGGCGTTATCAAACTCCAGACTGAAATCTTATTGAGATGCTTGGGAGTTATTTGAAACAGGCTGTTAACGCCTGTTAAAAACAATGTTGTTTGTTTTGTTTTTTTACAGGCGTAACTAACAAAATTACCAGTGAGTGTCAGTTTTCCCAAAATCATTGAAGTTGCCATATCTGTCTAAGAGCATAAAAAAAAAACATTTATTCATAATGTTACCACATGAGCATTTTTAGGATACTATAGATATAGATTGTTGTCAGCCAATACAAGGTTACCTGTGTTTTGGCTGACTAGAAGATAAACTGCTTTTCATGTTGTCCAACCCCCTAGTTCAAGCATATGCTCGGAAATATCTCAACACGGCTGCATGTTACACGAATGTAACCTAACAATTAAGAAAGCAGCCTGATCACAGACATATGTGGACATTTTCCCTCTAAGTGAGGCAGTGAGGCTGATGGCACATCTTGAACCTGTTATTATGTTTCTTCAGGTGCAAGGTGAATCCAAGCCCTTACTGAAAGGCCAGAGGGCGGAATACCGAGGTGTTTTTGGCACCATCTTCACCATGGTGAAGACAGAGGGGCCGAGGAGTCTGTACAGCGGCCTGGTGGCAGGGCTGCACAGGCAGATGAGCTTCGCCTCGATCCGCATCGGCATGTATGACACCATGAAGCAGCTCTACACCCGAGGCTCAGAAAGTATGTCTGCATCAAAACCACATCCCACAACTCAGTACACAGCAGTTTACAGCCAGTGTACACGACCTCAGGAGTTTCACAACTACCAAACAAATTTAACCTGTTAAACCTGTTGCTGGTCTTGAGCTGGACTTTGTATTATTTGCCTTGTTTGGATGGATTTATTGTTTCTGTCCGATGTCTCTTTATGTTATAATTTAGATTTTTTTTAAACAAACCTTATAATGGTGAACTTTTAAAGCCAGGTTTCCATTGGTAAAAGAGATCTTAATTTACAGCACTTCCTGGTTAAAGTAAAAATAAACATAAAAAAACCCCAAAATGAGCTTCAAATACAATTATTTTATGAAGGACTCACTGTCTTATTGTTTTGATTAATAATTAAAATTATCACAGCTAAACATGGTACAGATGGAAAACAGATAAAATCCTTGCAGGTGATCCAGATGTGCAACAATTCCTTTACTGTGAGTTTGATGTCAGTGTTTCACAGCTTTTAGGAAATACATGCCAGTCGGCAGGTATAAACATGTAAGAAATTATGTTCAGAAAGAGACGTTTAACTGATGTTTAGAGCAACTGGTTAGTTTAGATTTTTTTAAGATTTCTTAAGGGGCTAATGAGCTCAAACACTCCCTTCCTAATATCTGAAAATAAACTTCAGAAATTGAAAAGTCCTGATCATCTAACCGGAAATCAGACTCAGACTAAAATGAGTATAAGTCTAAACCGTAATCGCCTGAACTTGTTTTGCAGAAAATGCCTCCATGATGTAAGCCATGGAGAAAAAATGTCCTCTTTCAAGGAATGTGTTTATGCTGGAGGCCTCACCTATTCTAACTATGCCGCTGTGGCATTATTAAGCAATCCAGATTTCCACCCAGATCAACAAAACTTCAGAAATTAGAGACACAACAACACACCCGCTTGTTCTCATTTCCATGTCCAACCCTCTCTTTCACTTTTTCTCTGGTTTTTAAACTCTCCCAAAGGCATAAGGACATCTGCCTGACCTTGATGAGGACATCTCCAAACTATAATCTCTGGCCTAGCTTGTTGCTTTATTTAGTGAAATTATCAATTAAACCAGTTTGAATGAATAATGTTCTACCAAAGAAAACAGTGTACGTCTACCCCAGTAGGAAATGATGCTTGACACCTGAGAGAAGAGGATCTACCAAATAGAAAGTGAAATATTAACTCGCTTCATATTAAAAGCATAACTGAAAAATTTTGTGCATCCAGGTTTCACTATGATTATCCAAACTGCACCATGTTTGATCTCTAATTGCTGTGTGTGTCTTTGTTTGAGGCACCAACATGTCATAAATCAATTGCTTGCGTAATAGATGCTGGACTCGGGACTCGACTGCTGGCAGGTTCCACCACAGGAGCGATGGCCGTGGCTTTTGCTCAGCCCACTGACGTGGTGAAAGTCAGGTTCCAGGCTCAGGCCCTGCGCCCTGAGAGCGGCTCTGTCAAGAGATACAGCAGCACGACTGATGCCTACAGGACCATTGCCAGGGACGAAGGTTTTAAAGGCCTCTGGAAAGGTATATTAAAATACACTCCACAGGGTTTAGGTGTTATTATTGCACAACATGACATCCCTAACACCACTGAGCAGCGGTCATCCTGTAGCAGTTATGACTTATATCATTATATTTCTCATAGATTGCCACAGGGAGGATTCATGTCAGCCTCTGAGCTGTAACATCTTGATCAACAAAAAGGAAAAAGCAAAAAGCAAGGGTTTAGGGTCATGTTAAAAATATAAGCTCTGAGGGAAACAAAAGTAAAAATCATACTTACACAAGTTAGTGGCGCTTTTATGGTTTCTGCAGCCTAACACTTATGTTAAGTCACAAATTAGACCACAGGTGACTGACTTCAACTGACTTGTCCCCAGAATTTTACGGAGTCTTCTGTTGGCCGAGCATTTCTCAGAGAAACCGGCTGCCTTGTGTGCAGATTTGATGTTGCAAAACAAAGATGTGACGCTTGCGTTACTTCAGGCATCTGACAGCGAGCCCACAATGACCTCGGGATAAACCAGCACATTTTCAGATTAGTCTTCCTAAAGGGGAACCACAGTGATTTTACATGTGAGTCTTTTTCAGGTGTTCATGAAACTACTGTATGTTTGGGAAAATACTGTGTGGCTCCAGAAAAAAAGTGCTTCCTCTATTGACTGACAAAACCACACCAAGTGATTTGAATTTGTTTTGGTGAAGAAAATTAAGATTAATTAAAAAAAGGGCTTAAAACTACGTTAGCTGCTTGCAACATAACAGAACTGAACAAACTCCCTGGAATTGTTGGTAATCAAATCACAAGGTTTTCCCCAAGGAAGACAAATCTGTATAATCCCACAAATGACAATTATGTTTCCCATTTCTATTAGTGAATAAGACATACAGTAGAGTCTAGAAATCTTTGGACAGTGACACATTTTTCATAACTCTACATTCTTGAGTGCAGACTCTCAGCTTTAACTTTTAACCCTAAACCTTATTTGGCGGTGAAGTCATTACATTTCTATGTGCTTTTTTTAATCAGTGTGGGTTAATAGTTCAATATATGCATTTTTTTGTGTCCTTTAACCATTAAAACTAGAATTAATTTAGACAATGCTTCAAAACAACAGTCCAAATACAGCAAGTACCCAGAGATGTTACCACGATGGCTGTTGAATGGCAAGACTTGCTTCCAGAGGGACTTGTGGATATTTTTTATAAATTAGCAGCCAGTGAAACTTCTACATGATTATTTTTCCCCCTGAAAGCCCTAAATAAGTTGCACAATAGATTTTTAAAGAATAAGCAAACATGCCACAAATTTAAACTTGTATTTACTTTTGTTTTTTATCTTCTCACTCCATTTTTTGAAAAAAAAATTGCAAATTTCTGCTGATAATGACATGAGTGTGCTGCTGAAACTGATTTAAAATGAGATGCTGTTAACTGTTGAGGCCAGTAGAAGAATTTCTTCTTTATAGCAAAGTGAAAATCATGACTGATTTTCATGACTGTTTGATGACAGCGCAGGATGTTTTTTAAGACTGAGTTCACCAGAGAAAGAAAAGTGTTCCTATATGTTTGCTGTTCTTACAGGTTGTCTTCCAAATATAACTCGTAACGCCATCGTAAACTGCTCTGAGCTTGTGACCTATGACATAATGAAAGAGCTCATCTTGAAGTATAACCTGATGACAGGTAAGTGCAAATCTTTCTAACGCTCTCTCCAGCGTCGTGTTTGTTTGTTTAAATAACAAATCAGTTTTTCCTGCAGACAACATGCCGTGCCACTTCACCGCAGCATGTGCAGCCGGTTTCTGCACCACGATTGTAGCATCCCCTGTGGATGTGATAAAGACACGCTTCATGAACTCAGTGCCTGGGCAGTACAGCGGTGCTGTTAACTGTGCTATAACCACGCTGATTAAAGAAGGACCAACAGCTTTCTACAAGGGGTAAGGAATGTATTTTTGAAAACCAAGCATGACAGAGTGACTCCTACACACATTCTTGTTTCATCTGATTTCTTTCACAGCTTTGTGCCCTCATTCCTTCGCCTGGGTTCCTGGAACATTGTGATGTTTGTGAGCTACGAGCAGATAAAGAGAGCTGTGATGAGGTTTCAGCAGTTCTGAAAATCTTTGCTCGGACCTGTTTGCCTGTTGGTTTGATACTGAAGCCATTGTAGCACAGTTATTGTTGTTGGTTTAGACCTTTTCACCCTCAGGAATAAAAGTGCACATCTAACAAGGAGAAACTGCAGTGATGATTGATTTTTTTTAAAAAAAAGCATTTATTTAAATATTTAATAATTCTTTTCTTATATCGCCAAAAGCCCTCTTTTCACACGAGGCATTTTAATGTTTACTGGCACACTTGAACAGACGCACAAGACAAAATGCCCACAGTGCATTCTTTAAGTTGTATCTTTCTTAGGCAAGTGTATGCATTCATTGCCTTTGCTTCCAAGTGTAGTAATACACGCATGAATGGAGAAGCACAAAGCTGAATTTAGATGTGCAAGGTAACAAATGACTGTTGGATATATACTGACAGAACAGGTCGAACATGTTTCTGAGGCTATAAAAAAAAATATAGGAAGTGCAAATGTATGTAAATATGTAGCCCAGAGTAATTATCCCATTTCATACTGAATTTTCCCAAAGCATATAATTAACACCTTTTGGAATGAGCAGCTCCTATTTTTATTTTTATTTTATTTCATGGATAAGGTAGAAATTTTTGTTTTATGTTAGGCCATGATTGAAACTACTGAGATAACATGTATACTCTACTCACACTCTTCAGAAAGGCATGTTCCTGGATACTAGAGAAAAGGGCAAATTGTTTATTATAACTGCAGATTCAGGAGGAACAACAGCTTTCATTCTGGTTGTGTAATGGTGGGCCAGCTCTATATCATCCTGAGGTGTGTGGACATTTGCCCACCCAGTCTACCTGTGTTTTGTAGGAGGTAAATCAGGAGTAAGGGTGTTGAGCAAACTGTTGTGGTTTGCTGCTTCACAATTCCAGCAATAAGTCGCTCATTCTCAGTGGGTGCTGGATAATGATGACCAAAACAAATAAGCCTCTTTTTAGTTACTGTGATCAATAACCTTTTGCTTGGTGGCTTTGAACCCACCATCTTCTCTGGTCATATGACAAATTATGCTAAAGTGTTATTATTTCAATATCTGCTCAAAATGCATAGATATATAATTCCGACATAGTTTTAGACCTTTATATAAGTCAGATCAGTATTGTGACAGATGAGATTAAATGGGTTACATTAAATCCGACATAATATTTGTTTTCTAAAATGTCTCAGTCTTCATTGAAAACTTGAACACAGCACTCATAGCATATGTTTGCTCACTGGGTTTAAGCTACTGTGGGAAAACTCCCTGTAAGCCTCATATATTTTCTGTATTTTGGGTAAAATTATTGCTTTGTGACTTTTGTTGGTTTTTTTTAAGTGAATGTATTGCTGGGTCAGGGCATTTTTATCTCTTAACCTCTCTCTAACCTCATATACGAGGTTGACTGTGTGTGAGTTAGACTCTATGTATAAGTATACTGGTTCACTTGGTCTGTTGCACTTGTATGCCTGTCAGTTATGTCTAATGTATGGTTTATGCTTTGACCAATTGGACTGTCCTGTTTAAAGTTTTAAAAATATGAATAAAATGTAGATGAAATAAGAAGGCAGTGAATAAAAGGACAAGATTTTCTATAGGGGGGGCAAATGTTGACCCACACACGTACACAATGAACCTCATCATGTGTTACTATATACCTGCTGTACTACTGGATGCTGTTACAGATACTCTTCTGTATAATCCCCCATGAGACCTTTCAGGGAAACAATACAGAGATAAAACACCACCTAAGTGTGAGATTCAAGCCAGTAAAAGACTTTTCAGGCTAGAGGATGCAAGCTCCTACAAATATTTTATGATAGTTCATCTTTCTTATGCCAATTGTATCATTCTTGGTGTGTATACAAGCTTATTAACAAAAGTATCCACATATTCAAACATAATCAAGTTTCCTGCCAAACAATGCAGAGACACGGAGGTGAACAGCACAAAACAACCAGCTGACAGACAAGAAAATTGCCCAGTTTGAGTCTTGCAGGACAAAAGACGCTGCTGACAAAGATGAAACTGAAGTCTGTGCTGGAACAAAAGCCCGTATACATGGTCCACCTTGCTAATCATCTCCATGGCTGAACTGGTATGGCAAAGTGTGGTGGACCACATGGCACCCTGGCTAACCTTAATGTCCGCTCAGGCGAGTCCATGTTGAGCCAAAGCAGGACATGGACTTGTTGGTCTTTTATCAAAAGACTTTGAGCGTGGACATCATCATGAAGGAAGCGTTGTTTGTGCTCCTTCTCTGACCTTGGCAGGAGTCTCTGGGCATAAATGGCTGCAGGTATCGAGTGTCAGTGAGCAGTTCAAGTTCACCACAGAGAAAACATTACTGTGTTCTAACCAGTTTATAATTACTGACGGTGTTTACAGTAAAATCACCTTAAGTTAAAACTCTGTAATCAAAATGATCAAAGTTTGTTACTTGGAAACAAAAAACAAACTTGCTGATGTCCTTTGCATTGATTTGGTTACATGCCAACATCCACCGCCTTCTTATTTAAATAGGCTAAAAGCTCAGAAGCATTTTTCCTCCTGTTATTGTTGGTGTGGTTTACCATGTTAAAATAGTATATCTGCAGTGTATGGTTCTATGGACACTTGTTTCCAGCACTGAATGAACGAAACTTGAAATTTTTCATTATGAATGGCATTTTTTTTTCAGTTGTGGAAAGAACCTCAATATCGATCACCTGAAATCATGTATCATGTGCAAGCAAAACAAAACTTTAGAAAAAGTAAACGGGGCATGGTTTATATGCCTTTCTAATGACTTCAGATGCACACAGCCACCTTTAAATGAATAGAAAAGAAGTCAGCTAGATGAGTTGAATTTTGCCCTCCAGACAGAACTGTCATCAACATCACTTAAAAAGTGCTTCAAAAGATACCTTTCCATAAGCTCAGCAAGAGTGTTTTCTCATAATATTCCACTAATGACACTAGCATTGAAAGCTGAGTAGTATCCATCATATGCTGGCTGTGAGTTAAAGACACAGATCTGGTGTGCAAAAGATTAAAAAAAGAAAAGAAAACGCTACCTTTCAGGATTTCAAGGTCTTCATAGAGTTGTGAGGCTTCAAAAAATGTGTAACTCAAAGTACAGCAGCAGAGTAAATACATTAGGAACTGTTTCTGAGGGGAGTTGGATGATCCCCCCCCCCAAAAAAATAAAACTCTGAGCTATGAAGCGCTTTATCTTTAGTCACTTTGCATTTGGTAGCTTCTTTAAAATGTCCATGTTAAGTTTGTTGAGGGTGATTTAAGTGGCTGATCAGTCATCAGTCCAAACAAACTGAAAATTAACTAATTCTGGTCCCTGCACAGTTAACTAGTGGTCTAGTCCCCAAAGAACCCCTTTCTGCAGAATAAACAATAAACCTGCTGAGTTTTTTTCTGATATAACTGAATATATTCTTCTACCCATGCTTTACTGTTTTTCAATATTTATTTTATTTATTTATTTATTACAACAAACACATTAATCCAGACTAAATTTGATTAAAAATCCATGACTTCAGTGCGGTGCTGGTTGGTGCCTCCTCAGCTGCATGTTCAGTGGCTGAAGACGGATGGGTTTGCGGCCTCGGAGGTGCACTCCCATTCGAAGGAGCTCATCCTCATCAGAGCAAAACAGTGAAGGCTGGATACAGGGGACAGTGTTTATGTGGGCGCCAAGCACCAGTAGGAATGGAGGTAAGACAGCAGCTGTGGTCAAACTGACCTGCTCAGGAAGGCCCAGAGACAAATAGTGAGCCTCACTGAGCCTTTGTGCTGTTTTTGTTTCATTTCGGATTATCTCCTGCAGGTTCTTCATCAGGACCAACCTGATGTGGTGGAGTTTCTGGGAGCTGACAAAGAGCTCCAAAAAATCTTGTATTGCTGTCTTTCCATCTGTAAACCTCTGAAACAGTAGCTGTGAGACAGAAACACATACAGAAGGCGTTTTGCAGAGCACAACTTGGCTCCAGCATCAATCTGAAATGTTTGTGGGTATTAAAGTGGGAAAAATTTAGCTTGCTGTTCATATATATTTGGAAACTGACACAAGTTTTGTTTTTTTTAACTGTTTAATGAAACATATTCCAATGGCAGTTATATAAAGGACATGGGCATACTGTCTAGACTCTTAGCTTTCATTTGAAGGTATCAACATTCAAATTGGATGAAGGGTTTAGGAGTTTCAGCTCCTTAACATGTGCCACCCTCTTTTTAAAAGAACCAAAAGTAATTGGACAATTGACTCAAAGTCTATTTCAAGGGCAGGTGTGGGCAATTCCTTCATTATGTCATTGTCAATTAAGCAGATAAAAAGCCTGGAGTTGATTTGAGGTGTGGTGCTTGCATTTGGAAGATTTAGCTGTGAACAGACAACATGGGTCAATGCAGGTGAAACGAGCCATCCTTAAGTTGCTAAAATAGAAAAATTATGGTTTTGTACAAAACTAAAATTAGAAAAACATTGTCTCTGTCCAAATACTTTTCGACCAAACTCTATATTTATTGTATTTTTAGGATTATTTTTATAATGGGATAATAGTTTGCCACAACTTTGCCAGACAGAGTGAACATATTGAGCCAACGCAGGGATATTACTCCTGAATTAATATAAATGTGAAAAAAACAAAAGAATCCTATGTTTTGTTTATTTTTTTTATTTACTTGGCAAACCTTTTATTCCTACAGATCTTGATCCTGCAGATCTTTCTGATGTAATCCAGTGAGATTTAGTTACTATCATCTTATTAACAACAAGGTATTTGAGTGTGTTGATTAAAGAAAATACTTCACTGATCACAGATCAACAAAGTGGCTCTGCAAATTATTAAAAAAAAAACAACCCAAAAACATTGTTTCCTCACCTCAGACTCCTCCTCTGCATGTCTGATCTTGTTCAGGAGACACCAGTGAGCATAATGAACACTGTATTTTTCTGCTATAATGAGAAATGAAAGTGTTTCAGCATGTTGTCTAAATAGTTTTTGGACAGGCAAAGAAAATCAGACCAGAAGGGATTTCACTTACCGAGTTGATCTTGTTTGGCCTGAATGATGCTTCTGAGTTTCTTCAGCTCCTTGTACTTCGCTGCAAGCAGCAGCTTTGCATCTCTAAATTTGGGTTTCTGGCTAAGATTGACTTTGGCCAGCATTTGATTTGAAATCTGTGTCTTTTGCGCAGCCTGCTGGAGCCTCTGAAACTAAAAAAGCACCACATCTTGTTTTAGAAACAAGAAATGAATTAGTGCTGTGCTTGTCCCCTATATGTGCAAAAGTAAACAACAGCAGACCCAAGATGTTTGATTGATTAATCAACTGGGAGGAATGTATTAGTCGCTATTATAAGGTTTGTTTAAATCTCTTTTTTAAAGCAATAAATATTAAATGCTTGATAGTCAAAGATTTTAAAATGGAAGAGGTCCTACTGTGAATTTATGATGATAATAATAATTAGTTGATGATTTTATAACACTGACGAATAGTAGGACATTGACAGGGACCATTTTTATGTAACAAGTATGAATACTTTTAATATTTCTTAGAGTATGTTACTGTGTGCCATTAGTACTTCGCAGAAGTAGAGTAACCTACTTAACACATTTACCACCCAATGCTCTCAATTAACCATGTTGGTAATTACGAAAATAATTTTCTCCCTGTCTTTATTTACATGTGTGCACATTATATTTGTAGTTTTAACATATAATTATTGTTTTTATCCATCAATTTTGAAATAAATTTGGAGTAACAAATTATAAAGCATATTAACATTTTTCTTTTTATTAAGATGCCAAATTACAGTTATTTACTTCACTTATTTACTTCTCGGAGATCTCAAGGGTGCAGGCTCAAATTTGGGAAACGTGGTCTAATGAATTTGTTAAGCGCTGCACTTTTAAAAGAATCCGAATACTTCTTATTCGTGTTAGTTTAAACATCTTTTTCACTCACCTTTTCACTGCTCCTGGCCATGTGAGTTATTTTGTCCTCGTCTTCCAGCAGCTCTCGCAGCTCTCTGGTTCTGCGGACGCCGAAGTGAAACCGGACCGGCAGAGACATGCTGACCGTCCGTGCTCTGGATGCTCTCTGTCTCCTCAGTATAACACCTGCTGGCTCCTGAAGCGTCCTTCGGGAGCTGTTGATGCTGCATTCAAAGACAGTCAGAGGTTATACTGCAGAACTTGTGGAAGTAAACATGAATCTTCCTTTGAAAGTTTGACATCCTGGAGAAAGAAATGTTTTGTATTTTTTGTTGTTGTAATTTTTGCTACTTCCTGCCGTAGCAAAGTTAAACTAAAACATATTTATGTTTTAGTTTAACTTAAATAATAACTTTAGTTATTGGTTAAATAATAGCCAATAACAAAATTGGTAAAAATGCTTCTTTAAGCTTGTGTGAACCTTTCACACAAAAAGGTCTGTGTGGTTTTCTTTGGGAGTGTCTTAAAACTGAGTTTGAATCTGTAAAAATACCTGAAACACATCATCTATTAATGAATCAAGGACTTGGGAAAAAGCCTTTGAAGATAATGCTGGTAGTTATTTATTCTTGTCAATAAATTACATAAATAGTTTCCTTGCCATGCTTAATATTTGTTCAAGATGAGTTCTAGAGAATTTCAAAATAATTTAAAAGAATTGTAACTTGTAATGATTAAAGACCTTAGTATTTATATACTGCATACTTTTTATATAAATCTGCTGTATTTATCACAGTAAAGGATGAAAAGAAAACGGCAGTGCACAGCATATTGTGAGAGTGTGTGTTGTTGACATATTGTCGCTATCACTGTGGGATTATTCTTGGTTTTGTGTGTCTCTGTTGTCTAGCCTTGTCCTGTCTTGATCACCATGTCAACATGACCACTGCTGCCCTCAGAATAACTGAGGCTATATGTAGCCTCAGTTAATCCTTAAGTCCAGCGCTGCCGTCCGTCAGTGAAAGTCCTGCACTGAGACTGAGAGGCGCTTCATGTCCAGACAACATTCAGATTTACCACCACAGCTCTGAACACAGGACATGTCCACTGGGTGAGGAAGCGATTTTGCTTGTACTTAATTTTTTAAAATTTTGCATAGGGATGTGTTTTACTGTGTGTGTGGTATGCTGAAGACGGTTCTAATGAGGTTATATTTTAGTTTTTTTTTGCATTTCTTAGGTCCTTTTCTCCTTTTTAAAAATTTATAACAACATTACTTTTTAAATGTGCAAATTGTGTCGTCTTGAAATATTACAGATCTTCACAAAAAGCTTTGCAGTTCTCAGTTTTGCATTATGGGCAACAGAAGTCTTGCTCATAAAGAGTTAATGGTTATCTGCACCTTCTGATTGTTAGGATTTCTCCTTTTCTGTGTCTTTGCCTTTGTTTCTGTTCACATCACTTCTTATCTTATCTATGCTTGTGCTGGAGTTTGCAGAAGTCATTATTTATATAACTCCAAACTCCTCAAAGGATTATTTCAACTCACAAACCACAAACGGGCCTTTCTCTTAACCAGACTTTCTATTTGCACAAAAAGCACGACACATTTTATTGTTCGCAAAAGTTTGCAGAAAAAGTGTGAAAAGAGTCCTGTGAGTCTGTGATTGCTGCATGTTGTGAGTAAATAAGAAATAATTAGGGCATGGAGGGGATGAACAACAACTAACAAACAAGGTTAGGTTGATATTTCGAGTTTTTTCGTACGTACGTTTAAAAGTTAGTCCTCTGTAGTATGGCTTCAGAGCAATCACTAGAATTTTAATTTTGCTAGTTATTAAAACAAAATCACTGATGTGAAACTCTTATTTTGACACGATGTGCTAAAAGCTGTCCTTTCACTTTTCAGCACATCTCTTTTCATTTTTTCTGTCCCTCCATGAAATTGTGATTTTTCTTTCTCAGTACATGAGCTGTAGTTTGAAGTATTGTGGTTATTCACTGTCTCATTAGTTATCACTGCACCAACCTGAAGTGAACAGTCACTTGTTTTGGTTACGGGCAGTTTTTTGCTAAGACTGCAAAGACTCCTGAGACAGTTAATGTTCATGTGTTTTCAGTGTTACAGGACAAGCATTACTTTCTGTTTCTGGGTTCTGGTTCCTGGTTGGATTTTATTCTTATTCATTTCTTGTGTTTGTAGTGTCCCAGTGTTTCTGTCTTTTCCTCTCTGTCTTGCCTTACGTTGGTAGTTTCTCTTCCCTGTGTGTCATCTCACTCATCTGTACTTTATCTCATCGTCTTCACTCACTCCTTTTCCATGTGTGACTTGTCTTCTCCTGTCTGAGTGTCCTTGTTTGCGATTGCCCGCCCTGTCTTAATTGTCTTGTTGTGTAATCAGTCCTCTGTATATAATTAGTCACGTCTTTCCTTTTGTCCTTTGTCAACAAGTCTGTTTTGGCTCCCGCTAACTCTTATGATCTGAAAACCTCATCCAGATCATAAGAGCCCAATTTTGTTTTACACCTTTGGACTTTTGAAACGGCATTTTTCTCCTTTTACTACTAAAGACCAAATTTACCACATCTTCACGTGACACTTTAACATCAGATTGTTTATATTTTACTCTCAACTCTTATGCAGTCAAATAACAACAACATTGCCGGGCTTCTTCTTTATTCCACAAATTCTGGTGCCTACATTACCCACAATGCAACAGTTGCTGCGGCTTTAGTGCAGAAATAAATCTAAAAATATCAAGGCATCCTGCTGTTTTAAAGTCACAAAAATCATATAAGGAGATTTTTGGATATTATTGCATGTTTGTATATTTCAATAACAGAACACTTAAGAACAGTTGTGCAAAGTAATTAAACCCAACATTTCAATAGTTCAACTTTAAATTTTTCAAAAAAAGTGATAAAGGTGATAAATCTTGTGGTGACCTGGCTGCATTATGGTGTACTATATGATTAAATGTTTGCATACAAATAAAGAGATAACAGTTTTAATCCTACCTGTGTGCCTCCTTTTAGATTTACTATAAATGTTAAAAATCAGTCATTATTTTAGTTAATCTTCTGTCTCTATTGGATTTAAGGCAAAAATGTAACCAGATGCTCGGAAATGCCATAGCATTGTAGTCTTATCAAAAACAAATGCAAAGACAGTCAGAAGGTCAGAGTTACATCTACAGTGACAGTGTCACCCTGAGGCGTTAGCCAACATCCCACAATCTGTCTGTACAGACTCTAACAAGGTTGGAAAACCTGCTCCTTTAATGTGTGTCTTAATGAGAGGCAACATTGAACCTCATCGCCACAGATGTAGATGCACTGACTCTTGGTGTGGTCACAGCCAGCAATATTATGCATTAAGATGTTAATATTGTATTAAAATGCAGCAGAACATTTTTGTATGAATCAGAGCTGATGCAAATGTCAACACAGAAGTACTATTCAAAAAAAAATCGAAGCAACATATTTGACAGAGGCTATGCAGTAGTACTTTCTTCCAGTCAAAGATCTCAGTATCAAAATCTCGTCATGCCTCTGTTTCTGCTTCAACCTGTCAGCACCATGATGCGTCCTCTAGCTCTTCACCAAAACATCTCTGGGACGCTGAGCTGTGAGTGAGTCAGAGTTAACCACCATGAGCGCTGACACCGTCAGCAGGCCAGAGCTGGAATTGGAGAACAACGGCGAGCTTGCTGACTTGGTAGCAGCCATGAACGTGGCCGCCAACCGTTTAACCCCTCCTAATGGCTACAGGTCGGGTGGTCCAAGGACCACCAACACCAACCGAATTCACCTCTCAGACAGGAAAATGTCTCTGCAGGAGAGAGGGAGTCGCATGGCCCGACAGCCAACCATTGAGACCAAACGTGTGTCAATCACTGGCGTTGATGTGAGATATTCTTACATAATTTTCACATTATTTTTAAATAATTTGATATTTTACTGATCAGATAATGGAATTCTATCCTTCACTTATGTAGGATTGTATCCAGCTTAACCAGTATAAACTAAAGGAAGAGATTGGAAAGGTAAATTAAAATCATGATATAGCATATACTCTGGTAATACAGAAGTGAGGGAATGCGATTTATGAACCTTTTTACCTTTGGTGTTTCACTCCAGGGTTCGTATGGAGTAGTGAAATTGGCTTATAATGAAGATTCAGAAGAGCACTATGTAAGTCAAAAGATTAAACTATACTGAAGTATTTACATGTCAGTTTGCCTTTATTACCACAATTTGCTTTATTTAATTCATTTAGGCAATGAAAGTAGTTTCAAAGAAGAAGCTGATGAGGCAGTGTGGATTTTTGCGTGAGTGCAAAAGTATTCTTAGTCATAAGTATTAATTCCCTTTTGGCATTTTTGCTGTGGTTTTAGTGGTTATGTGTGTGTATGTATGTGTATACATTCCAGGCCGCCTGCCAACCTCAGGGTCAAAGTCACAGCAGGATCCGTTCCCTAAAGCCGCCTTGCCTCTGGAGAGCGTGTACAAGGAGATCGCCATCCTGAAGAAACTGGACCATCATAATGTTGTCAAACTGATCGAGGTTGGTACGAGGACTCAGTCTTACAATCTCATTGGAAGCTTAGAACAACACAAATAAACACAGCAAACATTTCAGCTTTGAATGAAAGTTGTGCTGAAGTATGCACGATATTGAATGCAATGAACACTTTATAATAGAAAAGTCTTTTTCTGCTTTTAATACAGAGCGGAATGCAACTTGGAGGCAGGGACAATATCATGGTGATTGGATAATATGTTGGATTAAGGTTCAAGCAGAGATGCAGGGAAATGGTGGCTTATACAGAGTCACAGAGTGATTCCCCACAGAAGTGACGTCTTCAACATGCTTCGTATCATGAGCTGTTATTTGATCCAGGAAAAAGGCAGATATTAGATAGTGTTGGTGGGTGGTTTAAGCCCCTTCGCAATGGAAAACGTACACACTAATGTATAGTGACAAATATCAGGCTTTTGTCTTGAATTCTCCCAGTGGATTCACTCTGTAGTAATCACTGATATTTATTCTTTCTAGAAAACATAACGAGCAACTTCTAAAGTTGTCCCTGCTGTTGGCAGCTTCAAACCTCCAGCAATGAACTAAAAAGAATCTGCTCACATCTGGTTTTTGTCTTCAGTTCGGTACCATACACATTGCTGGGTGAAATGATTCTGCATTAGTGACTGGTGTAAGGTCCAACCCCAGTCTGCAGTGATGGAAACATCTCACGGCTGATTTAGACTTCGGCAGTGAATCTTCGTAGAGCTTATGACGTAACCTATGTATGTGGTTGACGCGGTTGCCAGCATGCATCCCTGTGTGTAGTGTTAATTACATTGTGGTCACGGCCCAGTATTTTATGTGGTGCCAGCCACAATAGAAACAAATAAAAAAAACCCTCTGATGTATTTCCCTGGTAGGTCAGGGTTTTTTTGTGTGTGTTTTTTTTTCTCTGGAGGAAAACATATCTATTGCTCAGGTTTTTCCACATCTTTGAACATTCCCTCACATTCACGTCAATCGTTTTTCAAAATCTCCCTTCAAGAATTGTGGACATATTATGCTGAGGTAATGTTGTTATTTTCTTACTGATACACTCAAAAACTGAGGCTGGAAATGCACAGGAGGAGTAAAAAATAGGCCAATTCAGCCTGAATCAATGAGAGGTGTAGGTACATTTTCAGAGCGCTGGACGTCAGGTTACATTTTAAGATTTTAGAGCGTCTTGGGGTTAAAACGTACCTACAGTGTAGATTTAACAGAGGTTAGTTACCAGGTGAGGGCAGCACTATTGCCTCACAGCAGTGGGTTCAAACCCGAGTACTGACCGCTCTTCTGTGTGGAGTTTGCATGTTCACCCTGTGCCTGAGCACTGGTTGCTCTTGCCAATGAAAAACATGCCAGATTAACTGTGCCTATGTCATCCCATAATTAATCTGATAATTTACACTTCCTGGTTATATTAATGTAGAAAACCAAAACCATCTATTTCTTCTATCCCTGTTTGAGTCAGTCTTTGTAAAAGATGTTTAAAAACAAACAAACACTGTAACTGTGTCACTGGCCTTTGTGCTGCTTCCTTGTGCCTAAAATGTGCTTGTGGTGGACAGAATGATAGACTAGAAAAAGACTAAACTTTCTCCACTAGCAATGGGAAAGGAGCCAAAGACTTATTATTTTAATAATGATGATGATGATGATGATAATAATAATAATAACAACAACAACAACAACAACAACAATAATAATAATAATAATAATAATAATAATAATAATAATAATAATAATAATAATAATAATATTATAAACATCAGTTACTGTGTCTTCCAGGTGCTGGATGATCCTGATGAAGATGGACTTCACATGGGTAGGCAATAATTTATATTTATTATAATTTATGAATCTATTTTGCCTCAATATTGTTTTCAATAAGAAGGCAAGAAGTCATTAAAATCTCATTTTAATCTGTCTTCAAGCCTTCGAATTGGTGACAAAAGGGTATGTTGTTGTGCTTTCATGTATTCTATTGAGCTCTGAATTGGGATTTTATTGAGTTGGGGATGCCACCATGATGATTAGATACAGCATGACTATTTAATGTACGTTTCTGCTTTTGTGCACCTCTCATGTTGGTCAGACCGGTGATGGAGGTGCCTACTGACAACCCTCTAACGGAGCAGCAGGCTCGCTTTTACTTCAGAGACGTTGTCCTTGGAATAGAGTACTGTAAGTACACAGACTTTCTGACACATTTTTATCTGATTTTACATATCTGTTCAGTTGCATCCACTTCACTCATAAGCCTCAAGGCAGGAATGGGTGAATATCTGTGTCTACAATTTGTTTCCATATGAAATTAAGCCCAAATGATCGTTCCTGTCACAGCTACACATTTCAAAACGATTAGCAACTTAACTAAGTTGATTTTACTAACTGCAAATATGTTCATCATGAGCTTTTACAATATCAAGCTGAGGTGTGTGGAGACCAAAAGCAGTCAGGATCTGTCTCAGATCCAGGAAGACACCCTGGAGAGGAGGATGTCCTCAATTATGTCTCTTCAGTAGCTTGGGAATGATTCAGTATCCTGCTGGAAAAGCTGGAGGATGTCTTTGGGGCAGTGAGGTCTGGTGTTTCTGCTTTGACAGCTGCCCCTGTGATCTGGGTCAGATAAGCTGTTGGATAATATTTGACTTTAAAAGAAAAATATTTGAGAAAATATTCAAAGGTTAATTTTAAGCTGTTTTTTAACTTTAGAATATAAAACTGTACATAAATAATAAACTTAACAGGAAAAATGTAAATGTAATGTAAATTAATGTTAAATCTATATTTTTTTGTGCAGTACACTACCAAAGGATTATTCACAGGGACATTAAACCATCTAATCTGCTGTTGGGAGATGATGGCCACGTCAAGATAGCAGACTTTGGTGTGAGCAAAGAGTTTGAGGGGACAGACGCCCTTCTGTCAAGCACAGCGGGGACGCCGGCCTTCATGGCTCCGGAGATGATGACCGAACACGAGCAGAGCTTCAGTGGAAAAGTGAGACAATCTTTTCCCTATTGGTCATCAGTGATTTAACTATGCTTTGATTTTACATATCAGGCTGTGTCAGTTGAGAGAAAGTATCAAGAAGTGATGCTTAGCGAACCAGCTGAGAGCCTTTCAGTGGTGTCACTGTGATCATTTGTGTTTATTTGCCAGGCATTAGACGTGTGGGCGATGGGAGTCACACTGTACTGCTTCGTCTTTGGGATGGTAAGCATGTTTGCAGCATGATGCTTGTAGATTAATACACTTTTACATCAGCCGTTTAACATTTGAATCCCTTTTCTTCTATTTTTCCTGCTTTAGTGTCCTTTTTATGATGAATACATAGTTTCTCTACACAACAAGATAAAGAACAAACCTGTGGAGTTTCCAGAGACGTAAGCAAACTGTAGGATTGTTCAGTAGACAATCTCAGATTTTGACTTTCAAGGTTTGTGTAAATGTTCTATGTAGATACATAAGACTAAAATATGGTAGGACCAGTATGGGTTAAAATCGTAGTTTCTTATAGATTCATTGAATAGATTTCTCCTGAAATCAGGCAAGAAATGGGAACAAATCAATTTGCTTTTGGTTTCTGATCATTTATTTGACTATAATTTGTTATTTTCTTTATTCATAAGTGTTTTATCAAATCTAGTTAAAGGTAAGGAGTCAGTAATTTGTGTTTTTACTTTAATTCATTTATCTTCTGTCAGCTAGCTGTTTTTTTCATCGGCGCTTTAAATATTTTATAAACTTGTGCTCACTTGTTTAGCATTTTGGAACTTACTGACATTCAGTCTATAATGATTTGATATTTAATATTATTGTATAATATAATATTATTCATCAGTAGCTTCATGTCACATGTTAACATACCTAAATGTGTTTAATTCCTATCCACTTATTTTTCTGACTCTTTTATTTTGACAGGCCATTAATAAGTAATGAACTGAAGGAGCTCATTGAAAGGATGCTGGATAAAAACCCTGAAACAAGAATCACCATCCCAGAAATTAAGGTGAGAAGGAAAATCTATCACATCTACATCCTAGAATCACAGAAATAACATCAATTATAATGAACATATGTGGTCCGGATACAGCTCCATCCGTGGGTGACAGAGAACGGTGCAAATCCTCTCCCTCTGGAGGAGGAGCACTGCACGGTTGTTGAGGTCACTGAGGAGGAGGTGCAGAACAGCATTAAACTCATCCCCAGCCTCTCCACGGTGGTGAGTCGCACACATCTGATTGATCATGCAAAGACCACAGTACCTGCAGCTGGCTGCTGATTTAAAAAAAAATACTGTATTGTGTGGCTTTAAATTTGAATGTGTTAAAATAACACAACAACAACAACAATGAAAAGAAACAAAAACATCTCATCTGCATGTCTTAAATGTTCATCTGGTAGTACAACTGAATTACTTCAGTCCTTTATGCTTCAAAACCACACAAGAGAAAAGAGAGAAAGCACACAAAAGTAACGGTAAAATGGTTAAAAAAATCAGTGGGTTATTATGATTTTGAAGTGCTCAGACCTCCTGCCTCCAGAAGCATGCATTAGAAGACATATTGCATGCTTAACAATAAGAATTGCTGTAATTGGGATAATTTTTTAAAATTATTTTTACATTATATAATAGAATTAAAAACTAAGATTTGCAGCTCAACAGTTTACCAAAAATGTAAATCAAATGGGAATTCACTGATACTTTCTCTGATGTCCCTCAGATTCTTGTGAAGTCCATGCTGAGGAAGCGGTCTTTCAGTAATCCCTTTGAGTGTCAGGGCAGACGGGCGGAGAGGTCCATGTCTGCCCCTGGAGGTCTTCTTACGTAAGTAGCCTACTCTGCAAATCCTGCCTGCGCCGCTCTGCCAGACTGCCAGCTCTGCGATTAGGCCTCTAACAAAGCAAAGCAGCGAGCAGATGCTTGGATAAAAATAGATCAGTTCATATGTAGAGTCTCTTTCCCATATTACACATAGGAGATCTACAGTTCCAGCATATCAAGAGCATTAATCTTCAAATACCGAGTAGCTCTTACACTGTATTTGTTGTGTCCTTAAACGAGCAGCAGGCAGATAAAAGCATTTGTCCTCTCCTGATAAGCTAAGTGGGAGCCCCCGGTGGCAGCGGTAGTGGCTGCGCTGCTTTTGTTTTCCATTAACGGTCTGTGGGGGGCACAGCTAATTACACCTCCATGAGAAGAGATGAGAAGCTACATCCTCCTCCACACTTACCCAGCTACCAGCAGTACTACAGCACAGAGCTGCAGTCTCCCACTCAGCAAAATATGTGAAGCCCATCTGACACATGTGATGAGTAAATGCTGAAATCTTCTGATCATTTGAGCTAATAATTGCAACGCTTTTTAAATCAAATTAAAGGCAGAAATATTCCACACTCTGAAAGGTATTGATTGGTGCTCCAGCCAGCTTAAAGAAGATCAAAACTTTTTAGATTGATCTTCTTGGAGGGATGACGTAGTGCGGCACTTTGATCCAGGTCAGAATTAACTTCATGTTTAGCTTGAGCCAGGTTCATCTTCCAACGCATTATCATAGTATAATACTAACAAATGGGGGGGGGTTAGACATTTTTTAAAAAATTCCAGCACAAATTACAATAATATATAACAATAATATATTATTAATGGACGATCACAGAAGTAGATTTATTCTGTTTCTTAGTCCATTGCTTGATTTTATTTTGACTGCTTGTACGCTCAAGTTTTTCAGTCATTGGAAAAAAAACCTGGTGGGCAAAAATAGCTCAAAAAAGTGATCTTATTCATCTTATTTACGTATAACCACAAAATTAATGAATTGAACTCACTGATCTTTTTCTGCAGAGAACATGTCTATCAGTAAAATATGAAGCACTAGCCAGCAGCAAAAACAGCTACCATCACTCAAAATCTGGATAACAGCACCTCACAATCTTACACAGTAACACAATACATGTAAAAACTGAAATGTAAAAACAAAACTTTGCAAATGAATGACTTTCATTCTACACATAACACACCCAAAATCCACAACACGCTCTTTTGTACAGATTGAAAGAGTTGTTAAAGATTAAGGCTACAATTAAGATCAGCAGTTCCTGCACTTCTCTTGTATTTATGCTAAGCCAGTATCAGGCTGTAGCTTCACATTCATAAATCTAAACAGACATTTAGCTGTCATCACATTTTTGATCTAACTCTCAAGCAAAAAGCAATTTTCCCCAAAATTTCTGTCCACAACCAACTGCTGCGTTTCTAAAGTAAAATTTGTGTTTGTCATAAACTGCATTACAAACTTTAAATCCTGGCCTCTTACGTCACATCTCCTTCTTACAGTGGTTCTTGGGGCTTACTGGGGTCTTCGTCTCACCTTCATCCTTCCTTGAGGTAAATTTTTAAGCATTTAGGCTGAGCTCAGATGCTTCATACTTAGTGGAGCTCATCGGTTGTTTGTTCAACCTTAAGAGGATTTAGGAGGAACAAGACAACACAAATCTCTCAGCAACGAGCTGTACCAAAAATAAAAGGACACATGGCGTTGTTGACAACTGCTTTGTGTTGGCTTTTCCTCCCTCTTGCGTCCTATTGAGGTTGATGTTGGGGGGCAAGTGATAAGCTTTGCTGTGAAGGACGAGTACGCCATAACATTTGTAGTCTAGTGTGACCCCTCCTCCCTCCTCTTCCTCACATGCAATCTCACATAGTGCTGCACCTTCAACGACATGACTGAGCATTTGTCGCCTGCAGGAAAGTCAGCAGAGAGGGAAGCAGAGAAGGAGAGTTGGAGGACTTGTATGAAGATGAAGCTTTTACAGAGAGTGCTGATTAATCTGGCTCACATGGATTTAAAACACAGAAAGTATGTTTTTGTACATTTATTTGTGTCTTTTTCTCTTAATTCTTTTGTTCGTTGTTGCTTTTGACATTAGAGGAGAAAATTGTGGTCATTTTGTAAATTTACTGAATATTCAAGTAAAGATTTGTAGTGCATGAAAATACAGAAAAAGATGATATTATCTTCCATCCGGGCTTAAAAAAGTAAATATACTCCATGAAGATGAAGATATTTTTACATTTTCCTACAGCTGTTGAAGATAACAAAATATAAACTATTGAAACAATGACTGAATCACGTTTCTTCTGTCACGCTTAGTTTTGTTGCGTTGACTATTAAACACTAGATGGCAGCCTTGAGAAAACCTATTATTTCATAATGACTTTTATTTGAATGTTTCTAGGTTGACAGCATTAAACTATCAGTGGCTGCTACAGCTGTGCACGCATGAATGCACACTTCTTCATTACCACTATTTCTAATGATTCTGTATATCGGCTGTTCTTCATGCTTTTGACCAGTAGAGGGAAGCATTATGCAGCAATTATACAAACTCAAACTCAACAACCTGCCCTGCTGAAGGACCCTTAAGCATATATGTGTATATATATATACACACACACACATATATATATATATATATATATCCTTAAGCTGAAAAATATAGGGAGAATCATTTTTTTCTTAAATGATCAATCACGTTTATTTGCCACTGTTAAGATGTTTTATCCGGAGTGTATTATATCACAACCCTCCTCTCTTCTTGTGCAGCAAAAATAGATGTTTCAGTAGTGAGGACGAGGCGTGATGCTGCAAAATTTAAAATCCCTGAGCAAGAGTGCCACTGCCAATCACCATCACAGCTTCACAGTAACAGCACAACGCCCTGATCAGCACAGATTTCAAGTTTATCGCACTGAGCTGGATTTAGAGAGGCAGGCTTCACCGTAGTACAGGTGGGCTGAAGGTTTTTCTGGGGTTGCGTGTAGTAGGTGGAACAATATCTCTCATAGTCTGAACAGCAGAATATGGAAAAGATACAAAGGCAACAAGTAGAGAGTAAAAAAAAAAGGAAAAGGTAAAGACCAATAAAAGAGATATGAGCTGGTACCATGTGATTGCGGTGGAGAAGCTCGAACACAGAGCTCACATTGTCAAAGGAGCTCCAGATAAAGGTGTAGAGCTCGGGTTTGATGAGTTGTTGCTTGCTTCTAACTACATGATAAGATGTTACATTGGCTCTTTCAATAGATTATGAAGTCATCTGTCTCTCTCATCTTCATCTGTCTGACCATGTTAATCAGACAAAACATACTCTTCGCATCTCTCTATTCTCCCTCTACACTGCTGTGGTAGAATACCTGATTTAGCACCCATGTTTCACAGGATGAACATCACAGCTATTGATAATCTTTTAACATATTTTATTTCAAATAAAAAAGATGTTCCTGTACGTGTTTCTCAATAAAACCCCATTCATGTTCACCAATTATTTTGAGTCAGACAAAGGAAAAGTTAAATCAGACAGTGATATAATGCCATGAGTGTCAAATCTAATTAACAGTTCCATTTTCAAAACAGGAATAATAAAATTAAATATCAGGATGAGTTTGTCATTGTCCATTAAATAGGCTTGATTTCAACTGGATTATTCTATTTCCTGACTTGCAGAAAAAAAGTGGCACAGTTTAAAGTACAACATTATAAATAAGAGTTAAATCTTAAAGAATAATAGAGAGAAATTGTCACCAGAGCGTGAACAGCTAAAGCTAATTAACCCCCTTTTCTTTCAATTAATAAAAATACTTTAATGCTCCAGAATCTTAGTAACTCTGTTTTAATATTACATAACAAAAAACAGCTGAATCTCAGTTTGTAACCAAAAGAAAGACTGGCCCGATTAATCGTGTTAATCTTTTTGCTCACTTGATGACAATTTATACTCCTTGTTATCACCTGTTACTCATAAAAATGTATGGTAGTCTTTATATATTTTTAGCTGACACTAATCTGTTACATTTTAAAAATGCAATAGCAGTGATATAAATTATGGCACAGAGAGAGTGAAGAGAGATAATGTAGATTTACAAGGAGGGAAAACAGTACACCTCTCTGAACAGTGTCTGGGAGGCTGTGGTTGCTGCTGCACGCAATGTTGATGGTGAACAGATCAAAACACTGACAGAATCCATGGATGGCAGGCTTTTGAGTGTCCTTGCAAAGAAAGGTGGCTATATTGGTCGCTGATTTGTTTTTGTTTTGTTTTTGAATGTCAGAAATGTATATTTGTGAATGTGGAGATGTTATATTGGTTTCACTGGTAAAAATAAATAATTGAAATGGGTATATATTTGTTTTTGTTAAGTTGCCTAATAATTATGCACAGTAATAGTCACCTGCACACACAGATATCCCCCTAAAATAGCTAAAACTAAAAACAAACTAAAAACTACTTCCAAAAACATTCAGCTTTGATATTAATGAGTTTTTTGGGTTCATTGAGAACATGGTTGTTGTTCAATAATAAAATTATTCCTCAAAAATACAACTTGCCTAATAATTCTGCACTCCCTGTATGTGAGCTCATAGCTAAACTGAGAAAATACCTTTGACAGTAATGGGAC